GACAAAAAGCCATGAAAATATCTTTTCTTCCTCCTTTAAAAAGAAACACGGGTTATAACACAAATCAGTGAGTTATTTGATCCCATCTCCCCCTTCTTGATTCTCTCAGTTACAGAAATTTGCAACTAGAATTGTTTGTCACTGGTTCCTCTTCTGGTTCCATGGGTCACTCCAGGTCTTAGTGAAGAGAAGCAAACTTGTAAATGAATTGCTCTGGAATTTCGGTCTGACTTATGCATTTTCTTTTATTTATTTCATTTTTGCATTGAAAACATTACATTTCTGTTTCCTTATAGAGTAGTGTATCAAGAGCCTGTGTATGGCAATAAATTGCTACAGGTATGAAATCCTGACTGGTGGAAAAACTCATCACTCTGGTTGTGGGTTTGCTGTGAAATCTTACTAACAAGACCATTCCAGGGAGGGAGATACTCCCTAACATAGGAGGAAAGACTGAACTGAATTTTCCAGTTTTGATGTGAATTCTCCAAGAATGGAGATGGTCATCCTCAAATTTCCCCTTTGCTAGATCATGAGTGTATCAAAATGGGCGTCTGGCTTGGCTATACATTTCTTAAAATGCATCTGGTCTCAATCAATATAAATTCAGTGAAAAAGAAATCTAGGGTTTCTTTGAACCAATTGTCTAAGAAAAATTTTAGTAGGTTCCAGGAGTCACCTGGAATGGTTAAACAACAACAAAAAAAACCTCTTATGCATCTAGTATTGAGGATAACTAATATATTTCTTCCTGGTTTCATTGTGGGTTCTTATAAATTTGTTTCACACCCATTGCTATAGCTTCCAAACCTACTTCTCACTGCCAAAGCAACCTCCAAATGAAAAAATTTTCAGGAAGGAAAGTAGCCCCACATTCATTGGAATGTACATGGTTGAGTCTCCAAATTTGGTCTAAAACCAACATTAAAACTGTCAAATAAAATGAAAGAAGAATGTAATACTAGGGTAATCAGTGGGAGTTTTATTACATGGGTTTTCCTATAACCTGCAATTATCATTTTTGTTCAGTATTAAGTCCATTAAGAAAGTACATTTTTTACTGTGAAAATTAGTCATTTTAATAAGAACTCTATTATGAAAAAGGGGTACTTGAGACTAAGAGAGGACAAATTAATTAAAATTCCTGACATGAACTTTTATTTTTACCTTTCAAGAAAACTTGCCACATTTCAAAAACAGCTGGATGTATAATGCAGATAAATTAGGGAATAATGATTTATATTTAAGTGTCTCATCTTGCAAATGTCCTTGTAAATGTTGTTTTCATACATAAAATGTTGAGTTCATTATATATGCAACAATCTACCTGCTTTGCACAAAGTGAGATCCTGGGATATTCTTGGAGAGGAGGAGATGTGTCTGTGATCAAGCCCATCACAGTCCCACCCATCCCAGGTCCCCACCAGCACCCACAAGTTTCACCTCCCCCAAGTAATTCACCATTTGGATAGTAGAACATCTTTTTCCAAAAAGTATGCTCTCAAGTTAACAATGTGATTCCCTTTGTCTAACTACTTTGCGATGCAGTGGAGATCCATGGTGCTCGTCAGCATTGCTTTAAGTTCCACAAATAGAGCAACCACTTCCATAGTGTTTAATTAAGTAATTCCCAAGCCTAGCTGATTCAGGTACCTTCCCTTTCCCTGCTACTACTAGTATCCCAGCAGTACACTTCTGAAAATACTTTATTAGGGCATCACTAGAGATTCCACATCAGTAACTTCCCCCAAAGGACCTCCAGGGGTCTCGGTAACAAATGAAATGTTTCCGACCCGGTGAGCCAGTATCTTATGTGGCTACATCCATCCGATGGTGGTGGCAGGGGAGGGAGGGGCAATTTATAAGGGCCATTTAAAATTTACATTTCACATAAGGTCACATTTATATGTTGCTGCTGTCCAGCATGTGAAAAATGAGTATGCTTTATGAGTAGGGAGTGGAGAACTATGTTGTGCTTGTCGCCCCTTTTCCATTGGTAGTGGGGAAAAAATCTCACTGTCAAGGATGCATTTTCGTCCTTAGATCTGGGAGGACCAGTTTCAACATGGACACGGTTTGGTGACAGCAAATGGAAGTGAGCTCTCCTTTTTCAGACATTAGCACAGAACCTTGCAGCAGCTCTGGCTATGCTCAGCGAACTGCAAAATATGGAGCAATAAAATTGATGACAGTTACCTGTTAGAAAGGCAAATTAAAGCCATTTGTATTTTTTTGATAATTTTACAGTATTTGCACACAGACACTGAGCTAATACACAACTCTGTTATTCCCCTAATATGGGTTTTATACAGACGAAAAACAGTCCAGAAGGCAATGAAGTAGATAGATGTGCAGGTATTAGGCCACCTAACCCTTTTCTTTTCCCAACTGTTATATATTTCAGGGATCACATAGACCTGGACTCACTAGGGTAGCCACCAGCCCCGTGTGGCTATTTACATTCCAATGAACCCAAATTCAATAAATTACAAATTCAACAGTTTGTTGTACTAGCTATATATCCAGTGTTCAATAGTCACTGACAAGTGGCTACCGTATCGTACAGCACAGACACTGGCTCTACAGACTTTAGCAAACGATGGCCTTGACTCTTGAATCACTAGGAATTTTAAACAAATTCCTAGTGAACAAAGATAAGTGTTAAGGCACTGACCACTGGTGCTGGTATTGCATGGAAACACACGCCTATGTTCTCTGAGTGGCCAAATCATATGCAACTATGGAGAGAACGGGTCCTCTCAAAGCTTCATAGATGAGCATGTCTGTTATGCGGATGGATCCCCGGTGTACACAGATCCATGTTAGGTTCATACAATAAATATGGGCATAGTGCTCAGTGAGGTTCATGTTTGTTACCTTCTGTGTGCACTGCCACAGCTATTTCCACTCATCAAACTCGTTACCTAATTTCATTGACGAAAACTACTGCAGAAGTTGAGGGAGACGTACAGAGTTCAAACAAAGAGGATTTGCAAGTGGGACGAGGCTAAAAATCTTTGCTGGGACCAAATTCACAGTCTCCAAAGCATGATTGATTGACATGGCAGTTGATGCAAATATCTTGGCAGGATTTTTTTTATTATGATTCTGGGAGAGACAAAAATAACACACTCTCACACACACATGCACACATACACATGCACAAACACACTTTCTCCACTCAGAGCTTTCAGCTGGTTGCAGCTAATGCTTCCTAGCCGTCAGCTAGCCAATTCCAGCCCCTCCCTCCTCCCTCATTAAGTGTACTGCACAGGCCTGCACACCTGTCTTTCTGGATGCATCAAGAAAGCCATGGAGATGGGCAGGCAAATGAAAAGAATGGCTCCAGAAATCTGGTGACCTCTTTCCCCTCAGCCCACCAGGCTGTGTCTGAGCTTGGTGCTGGTGTGACAACGGCTTTGGTTTTACAACTCCTCAGCACATTTAATGAGTTTCCCCGCTCCTAATTAGAGAACATGGTGTTTGGAACACCAGGTGGTGTCTGCCTAAGACCTCGTGTTTTTTTGTGTTGTTTTTTTTTGTATGTGTGTTTTTTACTTTTACATTGTTTTTCAAGGGAGACTTTTTTTCTTTTATCTGGCTCCAAATTATTGCTGATTATCTGTCAGAATGTCTTGGATCTGTCTCCTCCAGGACTGATCCGAAGAACAAACTTTTGCAAGGACAAACTAGCTTTCTAGAATTGCTGTGTAAGTGATGGCGAAATTCCTCTGAAAGTGAGCTGTGGGTGGTAGAAGGTAGAAATAAATGATTGAGACCAGTTTAATCTACATTTTAAAAGATGAGTTTTGAGCTTCCCCATTCATCTGCCTCCTATCCTACTGCTTGGTTTTTCCCTATAGGATATGGAGCCAAATGTAACAAACTCCTCTACTCTCAATTCTATGCTTAGGTACCCTCTGGCACATCCATGGTCTTGCTGTTAGGTGCCCGTGGACACAGTAGCCTGTCCCGAGTTGCCCCGCAGAGGATTGTGGGACTGCATTCCTATTAGAACCTGAATGGTCCCTGTCTTATCAGTGGAGCCTGGAGCCTGTTTGTTAATTGTACTGAGATCATTCTACGGTGGCTGATGTCTCGCCGTGGTCGGCTGAGCAAGACGCTCTGTTATTTTCACAGTTTGATAATCAATGCTCCACTGAACACATTCCTTTCAAATATGCCCATTTGCTTGTCCTCTGCTTAATTGAACAATTGCAATTACTGGTACATACAACTAAATGTTAATTATTTTTTCAGATTTTTTTTCTCTCTTAATGATTTTATTTACAAATTGGAATCCTTTATCATATTTTCCACACCGAATTCCCCATCCGAATCTCTGTGATATCTTTAGCCGAAAAGACAGAATTTTTAAGAAGTATTTACCATTGCTTTTAAAAATAATTATGTAAGATGTGCAAAGCTAAGGACTGTCTTCTTTAATTGCTTTACTGGTTAAACAACTATATATGCAAGAGATTACTAGTAAGCTTGCCTTCTAAGGGGGTTAAAAATGAATAAATAGAAAAGACAAGAGGGTAGTGGTTTAACCTATACTGGATTTTTAAGGAAGGAATCAAAGACTGTTTGAATAAAATGTAAGTTAATAGTTAATAAGTAAAGGTAAAGTATAATCGGTTTTGAAAATCTGGAAAGTTCAGCAAAGTATCAAGAGTATTTAAATAATTCCCCATAATCCTCCCCATCCCAAGACAATCACTGTTAACTCTTAGGTACATGTCCCTCAAAGGGTACCTGGGTTCCCCCTGGGGATATGCTTACACCTGCTAACCTTTAACATCCGGCTGGAGTTGGTCTCCAATCCCCTGTCTCTCTGGTGTGTGTTTTTGTTCTTCCGCTCTGACACTAAGCTTTCATTAACCTCCACTTTAGACTGGTAGATTTGGGTCACTGCTGTTCTGGTGTGGTCTCACCATGGGGCCTCCCTGAGTCGGGCTCCTTGGCATCGCTAAGTTCACTTTCTCCTTGTGTTTTAGGGTGGTTATGCTGCATACCGCTACGCCCAGCCTACCCCAGCCACTGCAGCTGCCTACAGTGACAGGTAAGGGTCTTCCTTTTTGTGCTTGACAGCCACTTGGAAATTAACTCAGCTGGTGGGGAGACGAGATTCGTGTCCAGTCTTGATGCAAATGCATGACATCTGGGTAGGCAGCACCCACCAAGTTAGGTCCCACGTGAGACCACAAAGAGGGCCACACAGAGACAGGATGGCCAGCGATGCCCAGTTCATTCCAAACTCTCGCTCTCTTTGCTAAGACACAAAGAAAATGGTATGTTTTGTTTGTGTAGAGATCTTTCAGCCCTTGTGACAGCACACCTTGCATGTACATGCACACTCCCTGTGCAACCTTCTCATGGTCTTCTCTGGAAGACCATGGTCTCATCCAGCTCAGATGAAGAAAACAGAAGATGATCCCGCAGGCTTACCTTGACTGCAAGCACCCCATCTCCCTTTGTTACAGCTCTTTACACCCAGTGAACCACTATTTAATCCATCAGAAAGGAATGGGGGAGGCGTAGTTGGCATTCCTAAGGAGATTGGTTATTTTGAAACATCCAGTGTCCAATCCTACTAAGACAAGCCGACTTTTATTTGTAATGCACGCCACACCCTAAGACAGGCAGCAGAAGGGACAGAAGTGGGTTTAAAAAATGCACAAGTCATAATGGATGGCGGGGGAGGGTTGGTGTGGAAGAGCTTTATGACCAATTACCCAGGCCTAACAGATGACTCGGTTCCTGAAACGACAAGCCGCAGCTATTTCTGTTTAGGTGCCTTGAAAAAAGAAAGTGTGTGTTTCCATATTGAATGCAATGCGTTGGCTCTGTTTCCTGAGGACATAAATGTGAATGTTCAGATGCTCTGCATGCTCAAATGTCACTAAGGGTGCTTATTTTGGGTAATGACTCCTTTAATTTAAAAATATGTTTCATGAATAAAGCAGTGATGATAACAATTTGCATGTGTGGCTGAGGCATGCTGGGTCAGACAGGTAAGCAAGGAGATGTATTTGATCTTGAATGGGACATGTCGGCAGCCACTGGTCCTCCTCCCTGGCCTGTTGTGACTGGGTTCCTACCTGGGTTTGCTCTGGTGCTTTCCCTGCAGTTCCATTCCATTCCTCCCAGACGTGTTGTGAGCTCATTGCGGCTACAGGATTCTTCTGAGGTCTGATAAAGCAAAGGAAATTGCTGAGCCTTAAGAATGGCACTTTGAAAACCCCATGCACACACATGTAATAAAATGGCTCTTTGGCAAGGTGGAGTTGAGATCTGCCTTCTGCTTGTATGCAGGAATTATTACTATATTCTTAAAAAACAACCATAACGAGGTCTCAAGGCTAGAGGGAGCTTCCAAAGAAATTCAAACAATTGGCAAGATTCAGATCCAAATACATAAATTATGCAGTTACCCAATAATTACAAAAATAGGTTTTATGTAAGTTGCTATCTTCAATACACTTTGACACTGGATTAGGAAAAAGGAGAGGGTCAGTAGGTTAATAAAAACGTTGACAATCTTGAAGTACTTAAGATTATCTGACAAATGAAAAGGCTTAACGCTATTAAATTCTGCACACCAAAGATTCACCAAGTATCAGTTGTAATGTGGTTTATCTACAATCCTTAATTATTTTTATGAAAATATTTCTAGATGCTAAATTCGTAAACACCCACTTTGTATGTAATTATAATCATAGTAACTTAAGCCTGCCGTATAATTATAAGAATCTTAAACAGATTTATTTTTGGAGGGATTTTTATCTTGCTTCTCAGTATAAGTGCATCTACCCCCAAGCTGAAAACAAGGTTAATTACAAAGATCTCATTTAAATTGCGTTCTTCAATAAGACCAATCTAGACATTTAAAAAAATGTTTAACACTATTCTTAGATAGAATTACTTGAGGATCTGTCCATCTCCTTTTGTATTCATCTAAAACTTAAGTTAAAATGTTGTTGCATTTGGAGGCACCATATATGCAAATATGTGTATGAAAATCTGTTATTTTAATTTTATTAAGATTCTCATTGGCAACATGTCTTACTGAAAAATTGCCCTCATTCTTGAATTGGTAAATTTTGAATAACTTTACAATTCCCACTTGAGTCTAATAGTTTCAGTTGAAGAAACAAACTCAGTGGTAATAGTCTTATCCATGTAATTGGCCTCTTGCTGTTCATTAAAAATATTTGCACATTAGGTCTTCTTACTTGCTGTGTAAATTGGTTACCAACCCTATTTAACTGTATTATAAGCAAGACACATGTCACATATGGAAATATAGCATTGAAGTAAATGCAGTAAATTACCAGAAAACAATCTTTAAAATGATATTTCTGGTTTGATTTGTAAAGTGTATTTATGAAGTGTAGAATTACTTGAGGATCTGTCCATCTCCTTTTGTATTCATCTAAAACTTAAGTTAAAATGTTGTTGCATTTGGAGGCACCATATATGCAAATATGTGTATGAAAATCTGTTATTTTAATTTTATTAAGATTCTCATTGGCAACATGTCTTACTGAAAAATTGCCCTCATTCTTGAATTGGTAAATTTTGAATAACTTTACAATTCCCACTTGAGTCTAATAGTTTCAGTTGAAGAAACAAACTCAGTGGTAATAGTCTTATCTATGTAATTGGCCTCTTGCTGTTCATTAAAAATATTTGCACATTAGGTCTTCTTACTTGCTGTGTAAATTGGTTACCAACCCTATTTAACTGTATTATAAGCAAGACACATGTCACATATGGAAATATAGCATTGAAGTAAATGCAGTAATAGGTAAATTACCAGAAAACAATCTTTAAAATGATATTTCTGGTTTGATTTGTAAAGTGTATTTATGAAGTGGTGGTCTTCCCTATTACTTTTAGTAAACAGGTAAGGTGAAGAAAGACCCTTTTATAGAAGACACATGTTTCAGTGAAATTATCAGAATAGCTTTTGAATCTAGATTGAAGATGCCAAGTATCTAGAATTTATCTTAGGGCAGCTGTTAATATTTTATTTTAACACAATCACAGTGTAATATCAATAGTGATCGATTCTTAGCTCCTGTTCTCTAGATGATAAAGAGGAAAACTCCTTAACCCAAAGAAACCCTTCCAGAATAGGAGGTAAAATCAGCAGGAATTAGAACGTTTTGGTAATGTCCATAGTTGGCAACCTGTTCCAAAGAGAAAGGGCAGCAACCTGCCCTGTCACCATGAGTCATTTCAGATGTCTTGAAAGTGAAAGAAGTTTGGTGTCCCCAGTTGGTAGAATTTTACCTTTTATCAGCACAAATTAAGCTTTCACCCAATTAAAAATTCAGGGACCTTTGGAAAATATTGAACTCAGGTAACCTCAGGACGGCCCAGAAGGTCCTTGATGGGCAGCTTGCAACTCTCTGCCCATCATTTTCTTGGTTAAACTATCACATGCTGATTACCTTGGAGCATCCTGAGAGTTTCTGAACGCTGACCTCCAGAACGAAGACCATCTGGTGTGGGCAGAGATTTCCCCAAAAGAAAAAGACCTGACTGGACTAGGTGATTTAATAGTCTCCTTGATGCATTTAACGGGAATAGGCAAACATCTTTCCTCGGCATTTAGGAAATACTTGGTAAGCACTTGACCTCACCAAATCTTTATTTCCAACCTCACTTGGATTTATGAAAAGCCAACTGTCCAAACTCTCCAAGGAGATTGTGTTCTGAGCTTGAACCAATGAAAGCATGGCAGTGGGGCCGACGGTCATCTGGTCATTGCATGCCACTTGGTGTTGCTGATGTGTCCGTGATACGTTCTGGATCTGACAGGTCCATCATCACATTAGCTCGAGGAATGGCTTGCTTGGATTTAGCCTGGGGGCAGGCTTCTCTCTATGGATTGGCTCTTGGTTTCTTTGTGTATTATGACTTGATGGTTGTTGCATCTTTGAGCAGCCAAACAAGGGAATAAAGGGGGGGGGGGGGGGGTTCCCTGTTCAATGAATTATGCTACAAATGTTTGGGGAAATACCTATGGTGTGTACATAGCTTGGATGAAAATGTGATCCCTTCGGAAAGGCAGGTATTTGTCATGCTTGTCCTGCTTGCTGACATCCTAACATCTAACAACCAGTGCATGAGAACGACCCTCCACATTAGGACAGAAGGGAATTAAACACAGACCAGCTCGAGAAGAAAGTGATACAAAGCGGTTCACTTAGAAATTTCATAATGATCCCATTGCACTGATAGGTACCAGGGACCCTTTCTTCGTTCATGTAAGATATATTTCCTTTAAGAATCCCTGAAATCAGCAGCTTTATACATACAGTTAGAGACCTGGCAGTGCAGATGACTCTCTAGACTGAGCAAAAGAGGCAGCAAGCAACTGGGCTTTGTTTATTTTCTACCTCTTTTAGTTTGTTTGATTTTTGTGATCTTGAAGTTTTATTGGCAGTATTAGACTATACCATATGAAATTTCTATGTTTGTATAACAAACACGGTGTGATGGCAAGTTCAGCTTAATAGACAATCTAATGAAAATGCCATAATATCAATTATCTTGCTCTCTGCAATTGAAATATATATGTATATTCATACATATATATGTGTGCTGACATACATACATGTGTACAATACACATACACATACCTGTGCCTTAGGACCTCAGGAAGAACTCACGAGAGTAACTTGGTAAATGCTAATAAAATGTGGCCAGGACTGGTCATATTCAGGCTGTAGTCACAAGCCACATGCTACAACACTGTTTAATTCTGATACTCATAACCCACAAATAAAAGGTGCTGTTTAAGAGAGAAGTAAATTAGTAGTTCTTTTTAAAAACTCAACAGGGACAAGTAGGCATGTCTTTGGCTGGTCTACTATTTTAAATTATATAGGTGATAGAGATAGTTATACACACACACACACACACACACACACACAAAGATGGGTGGATGGATAGATAGGTGGGTGGATGGATGGATAGATAGATAGATAGATAGATAGATAGATAGATAGATGATAGATTAAAACATACACAGATATATAAGTGGCCAGG